GATTGTGTTGCATTCCATATATACAGGTGAAGTTTTTGGTGCAGGATGTCTGTAAATGGAGGCTCTCCTCTCTTCAAAGACACATTAAATAAGATCCTTGTTTGTTTGTAGAACATAACGATTATTGTTCTAAATTTTCTTGTAGTGATCTGTCATACAATAAATTTACACTCGATAGCTCACAAAATTTGCGGTGTCAGATGCGGAGAACGTAAGAGCAACTCTATCTTTCTCAAAAGTATCATGTTCAAAGCGTTTCTTGTAGTAGCTAAATCTTGCATTTCCTGTTGTTGCTCCTAGAAACTTGTTTGCTTCCTTCTCAGCGGATAACGTGTCGTAAGTTTCTGTGCCATGAATTATTTTATCCGAATCAAGATTTTGCAATGCTCGTTTCCGTGTGTCACGCTCTTTCTTTTATTTTACTTTAGTAGCGGCGAACAGGTCTCATGCTTACGGGATTTTGTTTGTGCAAGAAGTAAGTTAAAATTACATATTATTTCTCATGTGTTGGTGAATTTTATTCTGATTCTATTTTTGGATTAGATTCAACCTCCTGGTATGTCAACTGTGGTGGAGTAGAGCAACTGGAGGATGGAAAAGTATATGAAGCTGACGTGGAACCAGGTGGTGCTACATTTTTCTCTATGGCTGATAGGCCATGGCGATTTAGCAATACTGGTCACTTCCTGGATAATGGTGGCGACGACACTTATGTTTTGGAAAATACTTCTAGGGTGGTAAACAACTCTAAATTGTACAAAAGTGCACGAACCTCAGCCTTATCTTTGACATATTATGGTTCGTGCATGCATAATGGAAGCTACACCGTAAGCCTTCATTTTGCCGAGATCCGTTTTACTGATAATGGAACATTTAGCAGCCTTGGTCGACGTGTATTTGATATCTATATTCAGGTACCTTCTCATAGATATATCTTATATTGTGATGTAGGTTTCAGTTCAATTGTTTTTGGCAGCTTAATTGCTCATCATAAATGGTTGGTACTGTGTCAGGGGGTGCTGGTGGAGAAGGATTTTGACATCAGTGGAAAAGCAGGTGGAGTTGGGATAGCAATTGTGAAAAATTATACTGTATATGTTACAACTAGTTTGGAAATCCGACTCTATTGGGCTGGAAAAGGAACACTCAATATCCCAAATCGAGGAGTATATGGTCCTCTTATTTCAGCTATTTCTGTGAATCCAAGTAAGCTGTTAACTTTCTCGAGTTTTGTGATTGATGGTGTTCATGGTTTGAAGTTGACTGTATTATTTGTGATGATGATAGTTGATTGCCAAAATGACTAAGCTTTTGTCGACAATAATTTTGAATCGGCTTATGATATGCAAAATAGGAACAATGTGCACATATGCAAACTCTCAAAGAAAACCATGCAAGTTCATATATTTTTATTTCTTTTGTTGAATGGCTTGTATTGTTTGATCGTCTTTCTTCACCATTGCTTTTATCTTCTCTTATTTTAATTATTTAGATTTTTCGGTTCAACTCGAAGATGGAAATGGTGTGTCTGGAGGGATTGTGGTTGGAATTGTGGTTGGAGCAGTTTGCATCATCCTCCTAATTCTAGGAGTTCTATGGTGGTGGGGTTATTTACGGCACAGAGATACCATGGACTTAGGTATTTATGTTCCAAGCCTGTACTCTTCAGAAGTATCGCTGCCAAGTTTTTCTTTCATGTTCCTATTGTCTTTTTGCAGAGTTGACTGGCGTAACTGGTTCATTTACGTTGCGGCAAATTAAAGCTGCAACGAACAATTTCGATGTTGCTAATAAGATCGGAGAAGGTGGTTTTGGCTCTGTTTACAAGGTAATTTACTGCTTTTCTTTGATCTCGGGATATTGAACAACTTTTCTACCATGTCGGAATCCAACATTGTTTTTTCATGAAGGGTGTATTGCCAGATGGCACCTTAATAGCTGTGAAACAGCTTTCTTCCAAATCAAGACAAGGAAATAGGGAGTTCTTGAATGAATTAGGCATGATATCTGCTTTGCAACACCCGCATCTGGTTAAGCTGCATGGATGTTGTATCGAAGGAAACCAATTATTGCTAGCGTATGAATACATGGAAAACAACAGTCTTGCCCGTGCTTTGTTTGGTAAGCCGTACACATTAATTTCGTCCCTCAAATGTTTTTCAGAATTCTTTAAATTGTTACTTCTTTTCTTTTCTAAAACCTTGACTCTTAAAGGGGACTTCCTAACGGAATAAGGGCTCTTTAAGTGGAATACATAAACCAAACTAAAGGAATCCAATATGTCACACACATAAGTAGGGTCTAGGGGATAGGATAAGGTAGAGAGGCTGTCTGTGAAAAGAAAAACATAATACGAGGAGACAACAGATAAAAGTATCATACACATAAATGTGTGCAAACACGTAAACATGTATAGTTAACAAACAAGGAAGTAGGGACTACGGAAACATGAATACATGATAAGATAAAAACAAACAGGGAATCACAAAGCTTAGTGCTAACAACTACTATAGATGAGGAGTGACATACTATAAAAGCTGGAAAAACCAAGACTAACATAAATACGACATGAAGAATAGGTAAAACTAAAACAACTCTTCTATGATGTATCTAACGTAAGACTCTAGTAACCTTAAATGCCGCCTCTTCACCCCTCCACCCGACCACCCTCTACCATCTCCAAACTCCCCTCATCCCATCCCATTGTGCCCCTCCGACCTTCTCCTTGGCATCCCCCTCCTTACTCCCTAGGTCGTCATGTTTTCTTGTCTCCTACATCATTTTTAAGCGTATAAAACAACATAACTTAAGTATTTGATATGGCCCAAAGCAATTTATATTGATTAAATAATTGAAAACCAACAAAAATCATGAACTACTAATGAAATAATATGAATTTGCCTCCCTTATAATGCATGCTATAGAATCCCTCTACAATAAGGAAACTATTGGAAATATTTAAACTTGTTAAATCGCAAAAAGCATCTTATATACTTATTACAATGTCTTTTGTTTTTTTCTCTTATAAATTAAGTCGTAGAAAGAAGTCTATTAAAACGCTTAGAAATTGATGGCGTTTGAAATATTTTAAATACCAATTAAGTTGGATACGATAGCAATTATCCTTTACTTACTCGTGAAACCCTTATCTGCATTGTCTTTGGAGCCATGAGGCTTGTTATTTTGCTAAATTATTCGACCTTGTGGATTGAAGGGACTGAAAAATGGCAGTTGGAACTTGATTGGCCAACAAGATACAGGATCTGCATTGGTATAGCGAGAGGGATGTTTTTTCTGCATGAAGAATCAAGATTAAAGATTGTGCACAGAGACATCAAAGCAACCAACGTGCTGCTCGATAAGGATTTAAACGCCAAGATTTCTGATTTTGGTTTGGCTAAGCTTGATGAAGAGGACAATACCCATATAAGCACCCGTATTGCTGGAACTTAGTGAGTCATTTACATGCCAGTTTACACCTTGTTTGCTATAACTGATAGGTTACGAAGATCGCTTCAAGGTTTCCCTTTTCTTTACGATTTTCAGTGGATATATGGCTCCTGAATACGCATTGCGTGGTTACCTCACGGATAAAGCCGATGTCTATAGCTATGGCATCGTTCTTTTAGAGATCGTTAGCGGGATGGCCAACACTGTTGACAGGACAAAGGAGAACCATTTTGTTCTTCTTGATCGGGTAACTGACATGAACCTTTTCCAACTTATAAACTTGAATTTATTCATCATCTTTCCCTTGTCGCTTTATTTAGGCCGTTGCTTTAAAAAACGAGGGTAATTTGATGGAGCTAGTTGATCCAAGGCTGGGTACAGACTACGACGTCCAAGAAATGATGGTGGTTATAAATCTCGCTCTATTATGCACTACGATCTCCCCAACAGACAGGCCTGCGATGTCAGCAGTCGTTAGCATGCTCGAAGAAAGAACAGTTACACAGGAATTTGTTGTTGAACAAAGCGTCTCGATGACTGAAATGAATTGCGAGAAAAAGATGAAGCAACTTGTGGATATGAAGGAGAGCGAAATCGAAGAAATGTCGATCCTGTGCACTGATTCGACAACTTCTGCTACCGATCTGTACCCTGCCGATGGTTTCAGTGATTATCTTCATAAGAGAGAAGGCGACGGGAAGAGCATGTTATCTTAGGTGTCGTGTGCTTTTCATTGTTAAGATCGATGATCACACGTACGATACAAATTGATAAAAAACCCTAAATATATATAAATTTAGGCAAGGGACCTATTCAAAATCTCATATTTAACATATCGGAGAGACCTACACATGTATGATCAGAATAGAAAACATAAATTGGCAAAATTTAAGCAACAAATTACATGGGATCTAGTTATTTTCGTGGACTGGTGTCTTCCGGTGGTGTAGCTTCGCCGCGTGGGTGGGTATCGGCGGGATCAGCAACTCCGGTGGTCACCTTAGCAACATCAAGTGCGGTGGCTTCTGGTTTTTTGGAGGCATACAAAACGGAGTACCCAATTCCGCCAGCCATAAGGAAACCGACGACAGTCATGGTGGTGGTGCTGAACGGTAAACTACGGCGCTGGTGGAGGACGCCGCCGGGGTTGTGGCCCGGTGGTCTCTTGGATGATTCGATCCCTGCCTTTTTCACTTCCTCTGGACTCATTTTGTGAGTATCTGCCGTTTTCTTCCATTCTTCTCCTCCGCCGCCCATCTCTCCTTCTCTATCTCTTCCATCGCCGGCCGGATATATAAAATTTTGAAGGTCGTTAATTTAAAGCATTTGGATAGGAATGGGACACGTGTTGGCCAGCTGGTTTAAAGATTCATGAGTAATCGACACGTTGCACTATGTTAGAGCCACGTGTTGTCTTTTTGGATTCCGAGTTTGTGTTGGTGCAGTCATCTCCTGGTGTGTCAGGTTCAATTATAAGAGGGTTCTCTGGTATAAAAACTTAGGTTCTCAAACTTCAAGGGTGCCACGTGCCTTGCAAACACGTGCGGTGTGCCAAACCAGTATTTGAATTAAATTCTTGCAGAGTATAAATCGAAATCTCCATGGGGCATCTCCAAGGATGCCACGTGCCTTGTAACCATCAAAATCTCCATGGAGACGACTAGCACCGTAGACGAACCAAACGAACACGAACGGATGTTTGTTTATATATTCGTTCATTTAACTTAACCGAACAAACGAACGAACACGAACATTAAACGAACGAAAATATTTGTGTTCATATTCGTTCGTTTAGAAATCAGGTATGTTCGTGTTCGTTCATATTCGTTCATTAACGTGCTAAACGAACAAACTAAACAAACGGGCTAAAAGCACATAAATAAATATTATTTGAATTCAAAGTATATAAACAAAAGATTATATATTAAATTTAGTATATAAACGAACAAATATAAACGAACGGTAAACAAATGAACGTTCACGAACATAAATGAACGAACGACTCTTGTTTATTTTTGTTCGTTTAACTAAACGAACAAAAAAATTGTTCATATTCGTTCATTTATTAAATAAAGAACATAAACGAATTTCCCGCCAAACGGTTTGCTAAACGTTCTGTTCGTTTACAGCTCTATCCGCAACCGTAGCTTCAGGTTTTCTTTTTTAGAAAAATTGCCACCTTCGTAAGTTATAGCTTTGTGAAGGTATTTGATTTTTTGAAAAAGTAGGGGAGAAATAATTAAGAGGTAAATTTAGTCAGTTAAAATGGATATTTATGTTATTTTCTCCATCAATTATGTATTAGAATAAACTAACCAACATGTGTACTGATAACTGGTTGTTGGTACTGTACAAATATGCAAATTTAGTCGATAGACGATATTGGGAACTGTGTACTAAGGTAGTATTATGGTACCGACTTATTTAATTATTTATTAGTTTTTGAGGTTTTTTTGTGTTGAATATTAAATTTTGCAACTTTAACATTTTGTTTGAACATATGAATGCTTACAAGTTTTATTAATTGCAATTAAAAACCCTTAAACATCACATATGTTACCTTAAAATTCAAAGAGCCACTCAAAATTTGAATACGATGACAAGTTTTCATGTATGTAAGTTGAAGTTGGTTCAAGATGGTACCAACATGTACCAAGCAAAAAAGACGGAAGATAAATTTTTATTGAATATTTTAATAATATAATTAATTGTGTAATTTATGCTATCTTATAAAGCATTTGGCTAAAACTCTTAAACTCATTCATCCCTAAACGATTTCATCTATATCCGATTT